CCGGCGCAGGGGTGCGCGGCCATGGTGAGATCGACCAGGGTGCGCTCGGCCATGGTGAGATCGGCCAGGCTGTGCTCGACCATGGTGAGATCGGCTAAGGTGTGCTCGACCATGATGAGATCGGCTAGGGGGTGCTCGGCCATGGTGAGATCGGCCAGGGTGTGCTCAGCCATGGTGAGATCGGCCAGGCTGTGCTCGGCCATGGTGAGATCGGCCAGGATGTGCTCGGTTGATATGAGATCGGTCAGGCTATGCTCGACCATGGTGAGATCGTCCAGGGTGTGCTCGGCCATGATGAGCTCGGCCAGGGTATGGTCGGCCAAAGTCCGAGTGGGTCTCACCCTTTGGACTAGTCCGAAAATCAAGGATGAAAAGCCTATCTTTGATAATCAAATATTCCCAAGGAAAACCGTTATGGAAATCCTCGCACTCACAAGGCCCAGGTGGCCCATGAATAGAAAAGTATAAAACCTAAAACCCTAGAGTTAAGACCGCAGATTACACTTTTGAATAGGGGTGTTCAAATTGCTAAACTAAACTAAGCTAAAAGAAAACTAAACTAAACTATAATAAATCTCGTGACTGTTCGTGGATGAGTGAATTGTTTGTGCATTGCACTACAAGAAAAATACAAAATAGCGACCGAAAATAGCGACCGAATTTTTTCGGTCGCTATTTTGCGACCGAATTTGCGACCGACCAAAATAGCGACCGATTTAGCGACCAAAATTTAGTAGTCGCTATTTTGCGACTGAATTAGCGACCGATTTTACTGGTAGCGAGAAAATCGGTCGCTAAATCAGTCGCTGTTAAATTTTTTTCATAAAAATATAGTTTGCGACGACCGATATTGAAAAATTATTAAAAACAATTGCGACCGAATTTAATTCGGTCGCTAATCCTAACTTTTGAATTTTTTTAGCGACCGATTACATTTCAGTAGCAATATATAATTAAAACTTAGCGACCGAATTGAAATCGGTCGCTAAATTTTTTATTAAATTTTGAATTGAAATAAATGTATTTTCACTAAAATTACCCAGCAAGATTTGATCCCTGGTCATTTGAATGATGGGCCAACCACAATACCGCTGTGCTAATTTGATTTCATTGTTTACTATTGAAAGTAATTTATATATATAAAATACAAAAGCTTATAATTTTTGTTATCTTATAATTTAATATTGGTTTTTTTTTTGCACTGAAAAAGAGTGTGCAGAACACTAATAGTGTAAAGAAGTACTTATGTTTGATGCCATGCATTGATGAAAATTTGTCTATAATCTAATCCTTTGGAAGTTACTTCCAACTTCAAGCCGAATTAACTAGGTGAAGCTAATAATTGAAAATAGGTGAATGTGGAATACTCTAAGAGAGTTACATAAGCCTCTGCATTTGCAGCTGTGCCGACAATGTAGTTTCCATTTGATTTTGATTAGCAGTGTAGTTTACCCTGTTGTTAACCTTAATAATTAATAGCACATGGTCTTTCAAGAGCTTTGTCTCTTAGGTGAACACTTGATACGGGGAAAAAGCCACCCTCTATTATAAGTTATGCATTCCATTTGGGCAAATATTCAAATGATCTTAAAGGGATTTGGACCAAACTCTCTAATTATGTCTGCATATATTCTTTCTAATATATGCATTTTGGATAAAGCAACAACATGATTTAAACTTGACTTAAATTATTGCAAATATCAGCATCCTTTTCCTACTCGAAATATCTTCAATTCAGATTGGCAAAAAAATAAAAAGTAAAAACTCAATAACTACTCTAAAATATAATGCAGCAAACAGCATAAATTTTGAATTATCCTACAAACTGCAAAAGTGTATTATACTATAGCTTGCAAAACTAGTGTGGATAAATATCTAGAACCAATATTTGGTTCCACTTCTCAATCGGATTTTGGAGAAGAAAAATCATCCTTGCATCCAAAACCAACTTTAGGATTTTGTTATTGGACAAATCCACAACGTGAATCTCCTAACTGATGCATATCCATTTCATTAACTAATTAATGTTACTATAGTTTTTCTTTGCTGGTATTCTAGAGGAGGTGGTATGTGATGTCAAATATAAGGGATTTCAATTACTTGTACGTTGTCCAATAATTTATCGGGAAGTTTAATGTTTACTGTTGGAAAATGCATGAGTAGTTTATTAATCATATGATAAACATTGGTAACCAATCACTAAAACATTATTGACGAAGTATAGATAGCACATTATTTCACTTTACACACTTCTTAACAATACTACATATTCCTTCATTCTCAAATAAATGTCACTTCAGCAAAACTCTTTTGTTCTAAAAAACTCCGTTGCATGTTTTTCACTAAACAGTGGGCAGGAGAACCCAAATTATAAATTAACATATGACAGAACTACTAAGCCAGATATGAGATATCCATCAAATTTCAAGCATGATTACCAATCAGTTATAAGGCTTTGAAAATTATAATTAAAAACAAAAACAAATGACAAAGCAGCTTCTTTGTTAGCTGGCCTCAAACATTTGGTTGAGCTAGTAACACATTCACCATAGTACTTGTTCCCCCTTGATGAATTGACTGAGAGATACTTGTAACATGAACTAAAATTGCAAACTTGACTAGTAAAATGTCGAGCAGTTGTTTTTCTTACCATTTACATCAGCAGGGCGAATGTTGTGTAAATCAGTCAACGATGGACCATTAGTCAGTCCATAAGAACGAGGCCATAGATGCTCCCCTGTAAAAAAAGTATATAAATAACTGAATCTCTCACTCTCGGTGTGGGTCCCATAAACTTAACCTTAATCCTGCTACAACACCACAAAAAGCAATAGAAACCTTGATTTGAAACAGGAGCAGGTCCCTTAATGTGGCTCTTCAGAGGAAGAAGAGGGCACCCACAAGCTCTGACAAGAACAAGTTACCAAACCCTAAACAAAAGAAAGGGGCATACCTGAAGCATGGTAAGCTGTGCAGAAAGGTTAGTTGCTTCGGTCTGAAGCGTCTGCTTAGATCTAGCAGTAATTTGTACCAAAAAAAAATATTCTTAATTTTTAATAAACATTTAAACCCTAGTTGCTTCACGACCCACCACACCTCTCCTTCTCTTCAACGCTCCCTCTTTCTCTCGTTCCAAAGTTCCCTCGCCGGCCACCACACGTTCTCTGTTAGAAAATTTCTTTTGGTTCTCTTCAGTTTCGTTACACAAGTGAGTTTAATAATTGGTTTGAAAACTGATGTTGGTTGGGATGTTTTGTATTTTCAGGATTCTTACTAATAGGCAATCTACTGCTAGATCTAAGCAGACGCTTCAGACCGAAGCAACTA